CTGCTCCCAGCAGCCCTCAGACAGAGCAAGAAGCAGCCAGGTAAGTTGCAGAGGCCCCCCCCCCGGTCCAAAACAGTCCAGTGGCACCTTTAAGGCCAAGTTTTATTCAGGTACAAGCTCTCCCTCCTCTGTGAGGGCAGATCTGCACGTTCCTCCCCCCCCCAACCCCACAATAGCTAGCAATCCAAAAGAGTCCAGTGGAGCCTGAGCGGTGGGTGTTGCCTTCCGACACACTTCCGGTGAGGTCAGGGGGTGTGGCCTGTGCAAATGAGTTATACTAATGAGCTCCTGCTCCTCTTTTTCTACAAAATGACCCCTGGCAACAATAGAGCGGACTTCAGAGAAATGCCTCAACTGGGTAAAAGGAGTTTATTGAAGAAAGGAACAGCATCAGTCTTGCCGTGAAAGGCCCTCTCCACTGGTAGCTTGAGGGTGTGCCCTCCCTGGAGGTAGCTAATTCTCGTCCCGTGGTCCTAAAGGCAGGGCTTATTAAATGACTGCCACAGAGGTTAGTTACCCACGGCTTTGGAGCCAAATGTGGCTCAGTGTGGAACCAAGCATGGCTCCTTCAAAAAGGAAATGAAGTCTTTTAAGTATGCTGAAGGTGGGTTCCTGGAAAAACCAGCTTGTGAAAGGAAGGGCAGGCAAAGATCTTTACGGGGCTAAATGGATTTTTAGAGATCCTTTACAGAATGGGGGAATCATAGAAGTCCGCAAGTTGCCAGTCATCGAAGTGCAGGTCTGTACCAGAGTACCAGTTCAAATGTGCAGATCTGTGCCAGGGTACTGAAAGAATTGTGCCCGGGTGCTGGTGTGTCCTCATTACTTATCGTGAGACGTCCATTTGTGCCACTTCCTATTCAACGACTCAACAAGGTGGGTCGCCGTGTTAAGAACATAAGAGAAGCCAGCGTTGGATCAGGCCAATGGCCCATCTAGTCCAACGCACAGTGGCCAAAAATACCAGGGGCCATCAGGAGGTCCAGCAGTGGGGCCAGGACACTAGAAGCCCTCCCACTGTCCCCCCCCAAGCACCAAGAATGCAGTGCATCACTTGCCCCATACCAAGAGTTCCTATCAATACCTTGTGGCTAAGAGCCACTGATGGACTTCTGCTCCATATAAGAACATAAGAGAAGCCAGTGTTGGATCAGGCCAATGGCCCATTCCAGTCCAACACTCTGTGTCACACAGTGTCCAAAAATACCAGGTGCTATCAGGAGGTCCAGCAGTGGGGCCAGGACACTAGAAGCCCTCCCACCTTTGCCCCCCAAGGACCAAGAATACAGAGCATCACTTGCCCCAGACATAAAAACATAAGAGAAGCCAGTGTTGGATCAGGCCAAAGGCCCATCCAGTTCAACACTCTGTGTCACACAGTAGCCAAAAATACAAGGTGCCCTCAGGAGGTCCAGCAGTGGGGCCAGGACACCAGAAGCCCTCCCCCTGTTGCCCCCCCCCCACAAGCACCAAGAATACAGAGCATCACATGCCCCAGACCAAGAGTTCCTATCAATACCTTGTGGCTAATAGCCAACAAAAGTCTGCATGGTCAAAGCAATGGTATTCACAGTAGTCATGTATGGCTGCGAGAGTTGGACTGCAAGAAGATCAAATCAGTCCATCCTAAAAGAAATCAACCCTGACTGTTCCCTGGAAGGCCAGATAATGAAACTGAAGCTCAAATACTTTGGCCACCAAATGAGAAGGGAGCACTCACTGGAGAAGACCCTGATGCTGGGAAAGATTGAAGGTCAAAGAAGAAGGGGATGGCAAAGGATGAGATGGTTGGACAGTGTCATCGAGGCAACGAACATGAAGTTGAGCAAACTTCAGAGGACGGCGGAAGACAGGAAGGCCTGGCGTGATCTCGTCCATGGGGTCGCGGAGAGTCGGACTCGACTGTGCGACTGAACAACAACAAATAGCCACTGATGGACCTCTGCTCCAGATGTTTATCCAATTCCCTCTGGAAGCTGTCCATGCTTGTTGCCGCCTCCGGTGACCGTGGATTCCACGCGTAATGTTAGCCTGTCTGTAGCAGCAGAAAAGAGCAAGAGCCCACTAGCACCTTCAGGACTAACCAAATTTGTGGCAGGGGAGGAGGAGGAGCTTTCTTCTGAAGAAGCAAGCAGTGATTCAGGAAAGCTCATACCCTAGCACAAATTCTGTTAGTCTTGAAGGTGCTACTGAGCTCTCACGACGACTCAGCAGTCAGCGCTAGGACTGCAAAACCTTCATGGAATCCAACAATGCTTTGGGGGTATTTGCACAGCCCACTTGCCCCTTTTTGGCAAAACGTGGAGAAAAGTGGCTCGAGACTTTTCTTATGGACATGGTCACCTGGACAGTAGAAAACAGCGTCTCCCATGACATCAGTCAGTCACTACTACGTTTTGCTTTCTATAAACAAAAAAAGCACTCCCAAGAAACAGCCCCCGAAAGATCTATGCATTTTGTCACTGAGGTCGTTTCTCTAGCCCAAACCGCTGTAACAGGAGTGGGTAGAAAAATACCCCCATTAGTCACCATGAAAACTGATCCAGGGAACCACTTTAAGTGTCCTGCAGAGATACAGCCTTCCGCCCTTACCTGAAGGACCCTACCTGGCAACCCGGAGAACCTTTATCTTCACAACAGAGAGAGAAAGAGATTTGTGGATTAAGAAAAACACCCCAGGTATCAGGAGCAATGCTGTTGTTGTTCAGTCGCACAGTCGAGTCCGACTCTTCGCGACCCCATGGACCGCATCACGCCAGGCCCTCCTGTCTTCCGTCGTGCTCCCGAGTTTGCTTAATTTCGTGTTCTTTGCATCGATAACATGAGCAATAAAGGTAAAGGTTTCCCTTGCCCGAAAGCCAGTCGAATCCGACTCTAGGGTTGTGGTGCTCGTCTCCGTTTCAAAGCCAAAGAGCCAGCGCTGTCCAAAGACGTTTCCGTGGTCATATGGCCGGCATGACTAAACGCAGAGGCGCACGGAACGCTGTTCCCTTTCCACCAAAGCGGTTACCTATTTATCTACTTGCAATTTCTTAATTTTGAACTGTAGGTTGGCAGGCGCTGGGGCCGGAGACGGGAGCTCACTCCGTTGTGCGGCACTCGGGTCTCGAACTGCTGAACTACCGACCTTCCAGCCTGCAGTTCAGCATCTTAACCACTTGAGCCACCGCAGCAATAGGACTTACTAATTTCAGATGCTTTAAAATATTTCCTCGAAACTCCATGGAAGTTTGTTAGCTGTCCAGAATCTTAGGTTCAAACACTATGATTTCTACCCAAAGATACACTGGAGTTCGGCTTCGGGTAGAAATTAGACCCCAAATGTAATATGTGGCAGTCACTGGTAATGGTGTCTCTCTTCAGCTGTGCAAATGGCCTTTTTCTTGCTTTGAATTGTGAGTTGTGGCTCCTCAATTAACAAAAGGCTGCAGAAGGCTCTAAGCTTGGCTTTTTCTCCCTTCCAGTGGGAGGAGGCCCCTCTCTTGCCTACAAGCAGTGGAACAAGAGCCTCTTTGAGCCCTTTGAGTCTTCTGACGGAGACCCTCCTGTCTTGGAGATTGCCTTTATTCCCCGGCTTTATCCCCCACCCTTCACTACCCGAAGGAGTCTCAGAGCGGCTTGCAAACTCCTTTCCCTTCCCCTCCCCACAACAGACACCCTGTGAGGGAGGGGGGGCTGAGAGAGCTCTTTCGAGGACTGCCCTTGAGGGAACAGCTCTGAGAGAACTTGTTACTGAAGAAGAAAAGAAGAAGAAGAGATTGTTCTGACGGAGAGAAGAAGAAGAGGAGATTGCCTTTATTCCCCGCCCTTCACTACCCGAAGGAGTCTCAGAGCGGCTTGCAAACTCCTTTCCCTTCCCCTCCCCACAACAGACACCCTGCGAGGTCGGTGGGGGTGAGAGAGCTCTGAGAGAAACGGCTCTTTTTCAAGAACAGCTCTGACAGAACTACGGCTTGCCCAAGATCATACAGCCAGGTGCAAGTGGAGGAGTGGGGGAATCAAACCCGGTTCTCCCAGATTAGAGTCCGCGCACTTCACCACCACACCAAACTGGCTCAAGAGAGCCGAGTGCCACAGCCAGGTGGAGTGATGGGGCAGTGGGGAGGCAGCCTGAAGGAACAGATCTCGGCAGCTGGCCATGGGCCTATCTGTAAAAAAAACCCCACCACACACACCTTACAGGTTGGTTGCAGGCAGGGCTCATTTTCCTGCAGGAGCGCACAGGAGCAGAGCTCAGGCAGTAAAGAGCCCAGGGGGCGGGCACATGCAACAAGCCCCACCCCCTGCTCCCAGCAGCCCTCTGTCAGAGCAAGAAGCAGCCAGGTAAGTTTTTTTTTTGCAAACCCCCCCCCCCCCAGTCCAAAACAGTCCAGTGGCACCTTTAAGACCAAGTTTTATTCAGGTACAAGCGCTCCCTCCTCTGTGAGGACAGATCTGCATGTGTCCCCCCCCCAATAGCTAGCAATCCAAAAGAGTCCAGTGGCACCTTTAAGACCAAGTTTTATTCAGGTACAAGCTCTCCCTCCTCTGCGAGGACAGATCTGCACGTCCCCATCCCCCCAATAGCTAGCAACCCAAAACAGTCCAGTGGCACCTTTAAGACCAAGTTTTATTCAGATACAAGCTCTCCCTCCTCTGCGAGGACAGATCTCCACATCCCCCCCCCGCAATAGCTACCAATCCAAAGCAGTCCAGTGGAGCCTGAGCGGTGGGTGTTGCCTTCCGACACACTTCCGGTGATACCAGGGGGTGTGGCATATGCAAATAAGTTATGCTAGTGAGTTATGCTAATGAGCTCCTGCACCTCTTTTTCTACGAAATGACCCCTGGTCCTATTGAAACTAAAATGGGCTTCTAACCATTTCCCGAGGCATTTGGTCCACTGGGTCTAAGAGATTCTCAGATTCACCCTTTATTTTTTAGTTTAAAAAGTCATTAGATTTTGGTTTCAAGGTTCAGCGTTCCTTTTCTCCTCTGCCTCTCTTGCGACTCGTCCGCTTTGTGTACAGCCTGCACACGACTGGAGCGCCAACACCTTCCTCTTTCACGAGCTGTGGTTGAACTTGTATTGTCTCTTCACGCGGGCTGAAGGCCCCTGATCCGCTTTGAAGATGAAGTTCCAAATGACGACGCCCCAGGAGTAGTGATAGGGAAGGCTGTCGTAATATTCGGGGGCAATTTTCTTCACCTGGAAGGACACAGACACCACGGCGAGAGTCAGGCAAAACAACAACAGGGAAGATCACTGTGCATTAAAAGTATCTGTCGAGGAAAGAGGCTGCCTGCTGCACCTCTGCGCGATTTACACCTATGAACTTGCAGTCATGTGGCATGGGGCAAGAGGGAGAGAGATTTCTGCATTAGGTGTGATTGGCTGTCATATATCCAGGTGGGGCTTCAATGAATTAGTTGAGAATCAGAGATTTCCTTGTCACCAACAGAAACACTGGTGGTCATCTCAACAAAGCCAGCCTTGTGCTGCCCTGTTCTGCCTTGGGGACGTGCAGGCGAGGGAAAGGGCGTGTTTAACCCTTCACCCTCCACTCACTTTCACTATTCAAAAAGCGGGTTCCCTGTTTCGTTATGAGCGTTTTAAAAGGAGAAAAGGGTGCATTCCTTTGAAGGGAAAGCACACACCTCCCCTTCAAATTGCTAATAACAAACCAGGGAATCCAGTTTCGTATAGTGACACCAAGTGGGGGCTGAAGGGTTAAACACCCTTTCCCGTTCCTAGACAGCACTGAGGCAAATCGAGGCTGTAGGAGCCAGTAATTTGCATTACATGGAAGGAATAAGATGTATGATCTTTATCTTATCTGTCTGAGCTCTCTGTAATCTGTCTATCTACCTATCTATCATCTATTTATCTACCTATCTATCATCTACCTACCTATCATCTATCTATCTATCTATCTATCTATCTATCTATCTATCTATCTATCTATCTATCTATCATCTATCTACCTCTGTCTGTCTGTCTATCTATCTATCTATCTACCATTGATCATCTATCTAAAAAACCGTTTTAGGAGAATGGTCAGAACAAAAGCTTAAATAAAGATTCAAGTCACTGGGCTTGTGGCTCAGTGACAGAGCCTCTGCTCGGCATGCAGAAGGTCCCAGGTTCAATCCCCGGCATCTCCAGTTAAAAGGACCAGGCAGGAGGTGATGTGAAAGACCCCTGCCTGAGACCCTGGAGAGCTGTAAAGAGGGGCTGTGGCTCAGTGGCAGAGCCTCTGCTTGGCATGCAGAAGGTCCCAGGTTTAGTCCCCAGAGGCATCTCCAGTTAAAAGGACCAGGCAGGAGGTGATGTGAATATTTCTCTGCCTGAGACCCTGGAGAGCTGCTGCCAGTCTGAGTAGACAGTACTGACCTTGAGGGACCAAGATCTGTTTGTTGAGGGGCCGTGGCTCAGTGGTAGAGCCTCTGCTTGGCATGCAGAATGTCCCAGGTTCAATTCCAGGCATCTCTAGTCAAAAAGGAACAGGCAGGAGGTGATGGGAAAGACCTCCGCCTGAGACCTTGGAAAGCTGTAAAGAGGGGCCGTGGCTCAGTGGAAGAGCCTCTGCTTGGCACGTAGAATGTCCCAGGTTCAATTCCAGGCATCTCTAGTCAAAAAGGATGAGGCAGGAGGTGAGGGGAAAGACCTCCAGCTGAGACCTTGGAGAGCCACTGCCAGTCTGAGTAGACCATGCTGACCGTGATGGACCAAGATCTGTTTGTTGAGGGGCTGTGGCCAACGCTCCCTCTACGCCGTGGAGTCTTGTGAGCAAAAATTCTACTCTGTGAGCTGCTGGCATTAAAGTTGTGAGCAAGCGATTTGGCTCCTGCATCAATTAGTTTGCTCTGGAGCCCCATCCTCCCTGAGCTAAGACAAACATTTGTGAGCTGGAGGCTAAAAAACTGTGAGCTAGCTCACTCTAACTCAGCTTAGAGGCTGTGGCTCAGTGGTAGAGCCTCTGCTTTGGCATGCGGAAAGTCCCAGGTTCAGTCCCCGGCATCTCCAGTTAAAAGGACCAGGCAGTAGGCGATGTGAAAGTAGGCAATGTGAAAGACCTCCGCCTGAGACCCTGGACAGCGGCTGCCAGTCTGAGCAGACAATAATGATTCATATGTTCCTAAGGAATGGAGCTCACCCTTTACAGAAGAATGTCTTCCATGCATCACAGGTTTCGCGCTGTTTCATTTTACGATGTGCCCAGGAGAGGTCATTGCGACTTGCAAGAGATACGGAGCGGTGCCTAACTGGAATGTTTTGATTGGGACCTCGCTTATACATGTGTATTCATTGTATGTTAATGAAGACTTGCCTGATTTACCTGACGAAGGAATAGATCTGAAACGCTGATTATATTATCCGGAACTGTGTCGTTTCTACTTCGAATTGATCTTATTTACTACAAGCCACAGTGTATAAATGTTTGGACTTTAATTCAAGGACATGCGATGTTTATATAAACAGACTCCCCCCCCCCCCGTGCGCTTTTTCTTGTTCTATTTATGAAGGAAGTCTACTGCTTTTGAGATATGCTGTGACCAGTGCCCCCTCTAAGCTGAGTTAGTGTGAGCCAGCTCACAGGTTTTTAGCCTCCAGCTCACACATTTTTGTCTCAGCTCAGGGAGGAGGGCTCCAGAGCAAACTAACTTATGCAAGGAGACAAATCACTCGCTCACAACTTTAATCCCAGTAGCTCACAAAGTAGAATTTTTGCTCACAAGACTCCACAGCTTAGAGGGAGCACTTGGGTGCGACATTGCGAGTTTGAGTTTGTTACCACCCACTTTTGGATGATTGTTCTTTATTATGCTTGTGGTTCTACAATAATATATATATGTAAAAAGGTAAAGGTTCCCTTGCTCGAAAGCCAGTCGAATCCGACTCTAGGGTCGCGGTGCTCATCTCTGTTTCAAAGCCGAAGAGCCAGCGCTGTCCGGAGACGTTTCCGTGGTCATGTGGCCGGCATGACTGAACACCGAGGCGCACGGAACGCTGTTCCCACCGAAGTGGTACCTATTTATCTACTTGCAATTTCTTGCTTTCGAACTGCTAGGTTGGCAGGAGCTGGAACCAGAGACGGGAGCTCACTCCGTCATGCGGCACACTCGGGTCTCGAACTGCTGAACTACTGACCTTCCACAGCCTGCAGTTCAGCATCTTAACCACTTGAGCCACCGCAGCTCCTAATATATATATGAGTTTGGCGCTATTATTGACTTTGCTTTCCTTATCATTATTGTTGCATTTATTTAGCGTTCTTTGACGACAGATTTGTTTGTGAGTTCGTTCAAGCACGGGGCCAACAGAGACACAACAAACGTCCAACAGCTCACACGCATACATACCCTCCTTCCAAGAGGCGAACCAATCTTACCAGGGGTAGCTTGCTCCCTGGGATGCTTGGGAAATCGTGATGTTCCACATGGTGACCCGCGTTCAAGGCGATCCGGTTCAAAGGCCCGTAGTAGGAGACGGTGTCACAACCTTTGCCGTATTCGTAGTGCTCGGCAATAAAGTGGCCCGTGATGAGGTTGAAGCCGCTGGTGAACAGGACAGAAGCAAGCATGTAGATCAGGGACTTGGTTCCCATCGAGTAGAAGATGAGAAGGTCGTAGCCCAGCTGGACAGAGATGTTGATGAGCTCGATTTGGCTGACTGGCTTGGGACGGACAAACAAAGGTCTCAGGGCGTAGCAGAGCGGCTGCAGAAAGACCCAGATTAACTTTCCCAGGGACGTGTTGAACAAGCGGCACTCCAGATAGGTGGGCAGGTCCACATCCAACCTGTCCCCGGCCAAGTAGCGGTGGTGGTCAATGTGGTACTTCTTGAAGGTGGCGGCGATGGGGATGCCGATAGGCAGGTTGGCAAACATGTTGAAGTAGCTGTTCCACGTGGGTCTCTTGTTGCCGAAGGCCACGTTGTGGGAGATCTCGTGGATGGCCAGGGTTAGGGAGTGGCTGACGTAGCCCCCAACGGTGTAGGTCCAGAAGAAGACCCACTTCCACGGCAGGTCCTTCACCAGGTAGCAAGCCACCATCTGAACCAGAACCATGAGGGTCACCACCCATTTGAGGTGGGGGTCGGGGGCCATCAGTTTCTTGATCCCAGGATATTTGGCTGTGTGGAGGGAAACAGGAAATAGGTAACGTCAGCAGGGGTCATTTCCTGCAGGAGCGCACAGGAGCGGAGCTCCGGCAGTAAAGAGCCCAGGGGGTGGGCACATGCAACAAGCACCACCCCCTGCTCCCAGCAGCCCTCAGTCAGAGCAAGAAGTAGCCAGGTAAGCTGCAGAGCCCCCCCCGCTCCCCGGCCCAAAACAGTCCAGTGGCACCTTTGAGACCAAGTTTTATTCAGGTACAAGCTCTCCCTCCTCTGCGAGGACAGATCTGCACGTTCCCCCCTCCCAATAGCTAGCAATCCAAAACAGTCCAGCGGAGCCTGAGCGGTGGGTGTTGCCTTCTGACACACTTCCAGTGACGTCAGGGGGCGTGGCATATGCAAATGAGTTATGCTAATGAGTTATGCTAATGAGCTCCTGGACCTCTTTTTCTACTAAACGACCCCTGCTTACCTACCATTCCGATGTACCTGGAAAAGTGTGTGTTCACACAAAAGCTCATACCTTGAATAAACCTTTGTTGGTCCTGTGTCCAGTTTTGGGCACCACATCTTAGGAAGGGTGTTGACAAGCTTGAGCGTGTCCAGAAGAGGGCAACCAGGACGATGAGAGGGTTGGAGTCCAAGTCTTACAAGGAAAGGCTGAAAGAGTTGGGTCTTAAAGGTGCCACTGGGCTGTTTTGGGCCGGGGGGCCGGGGGGGGGCCTCTGCAACTTACCTGGCTGCTTCTTGCTCTGACTGAGGGCTGCTGGGAGCAGGGGGCGGGGCTTGTTGCATGTGCCTTCCGCTCCTGTGCGCTCCTGCAGGAAACGACCCTTGCTGACAAGACTCCACAGCTTAGAGGGAGCATTGATTCCAATGTCGTGCAAAACCGTCCTTCGGGCTGACCATGCTCTGCCCAGCCTGCCAGTGAAGGCCTGCCTCTCCAGCCCTGCTCTCTGTGCCTTGAGAGGTGAGGCGGGTGGCAAATTGAGGCAGGACATTTCCTGTGGTGGCCCCCTGGCTTTGGCCAGACCTGTAGCCTGATCTCAGAAGCCGAGCAGGGCCAGCCCTCATTGGCACTTGTATGAGAGACAGCCCAGGAAGACCAGGGTTGCTGCGCAGAGGAAGGCGATGGCAAACCACCTCTGTTCGCTTCTCGCCTTGGAAACCCTGTGGGGTCACTGCCACTTGGCTGGGACTCGATGGCCCTTTCTGCACACAGCTTTCCTTTCACATGCTCCCCCCCCCCCCTTCTCTGTACTTCCTTTTAGCCGTTTCAGGCCAAAACACATCTTTTGAACACATATGAACACACACGAAGCAGCCTAATACTAAATCAGGCTCTTGGTCCATCAAGACCAGTCTTGTCCACTCAGACTGGCATGTCGGGGATTGAACCTGGGACCTCCTGCAAGCCAAGCAGATGATCTGCCACTGAGACACAGACCCTCTTTACAGCTCTCCAGGGTCTCAGGCAGAGGTCTTTCCCATCATCTCCTGCCTGGTCCTTTTTAACTAGAGATGCCGGGGATTGAACCTGGGACCTTCTGCATGCCAAGCAGAGGCTCTTCCACTGAGCCACAGCCCCTCTTTACAGCTCTCCAGGGTCTCGGGCAGAGGTCTTTCCCATCACCTACCGCCTGTCCCTTTTTAATTAGAGATGTCGGGGATTGAACCTGGGACCTCCTGCAAGCCAAGCAGATGATCTGCCACTGAGACACAGACCCTCTTTACAGCTCTCCAGGGTCTCAGGCAGAGGTCTTTCCCATCACCTCCTGCCTGTTCCTTTTTAACTAGAGATGTCGGGGATTGAACCTGAGACCTCCTGCAAGCCAAGCAGAGGCTCTACCATTGAGCCCTCTTTACCGTGGCCAGAAACACCAGGTGCGGAAAGACCAGGTGCAGAAACACTGCATTATTTAGCATGTGTGAAAGCACCCAATTACTGTTGTCTGTGGACAGGCCTGCGTTCAGACAACCCTATGAACTGTAGTTAGTTTAACGAAACCCCGATCTTGTAGGAATAGATTCATTGACGGGTAATGCTCTAATTAATCCGTGTTCTCCAAACAGCCTGAAAAACTGTGCCTTGAAGATACTAATTATGATTAATGCTCTCAAGGAACCTGTCAAGGAACTTCTAATCCCTGCCTGAAGGTAGACAAAAGAGGAATCTGCAGAATGCATCCGGCTGTTTACAGATAGCTTCATTACTGGGAAATTACATAACCTTAAGGCTGACAATGAAGAAAATGAGATTGTTCAAAGCATTCCGTTCCTTGGCTCCCCTCATCAACCCAAGGGGAGACTGCAACTGTAACGATTCCTTGTTTTTGTGTGTCTGTTTCTCTTTAAAAGTTTGGTTGCATGGCTGTGGTAGATAGACTAGAGTGGTTGAGAAAGGCAAGTGTTGTATCATTGGTGGTTGATAGAGAGGGGGAGGGGTTTGGGAAGTGAATCTTGTTGGATGAATATGTGAGTCAGTCAAGAGTTTCAGTTAGATGTTGACAGTTGATGTTCAGTTAGACAGTTAGTTCTGTGTGGAAGCAGTTATAAGCTGACAGCTGCAGTTGTTCAGTGAGACAGAGAGATAAAGCTGAAAGTTGAATGTACAGGAAACAGTAAAGTTTAAGTGACCAAAAGTTAAAGGAAAGTCTGAGTGTCATAACAATCTGGAGTGAAACAGTGAACACATATGGCATTGAGATAAACAAGTGTTACAAAGTTACATGAAAAGATCCCTGTCCGTGAGGGAGAAGATTGTGTGTGATACCAAAGCAATTGTTCATCATTTACACATTACTAGTTACATTGTACCACCCTCTTATTTAGTAATTTCAATAAATCCTCTTTTATCCAAGTTTATACCAGCTCTGAATGAAATACTTCCCAGGAACACATAGATCCTCGAAAGCCTTGAACTTGGTCTACCAAACTAAAAAGAGCAACAGTAAAAGCATAAAGGTTTGGAAATCCTTCAAATTTCCTGGTGGCAGCAGAATATACCCAGTTAGACAAAATACTTTTAAAGGGAAACTAGTCCTCCCCAATAAGGAGGGCATCACAGCAACCAAGAAGCGAGAAAAGATCCTTCAGCGTCAGGATGTGTCGCTGGCGACCAACGCTCCCTCTAAGCTGTGGAGTCTTGTGAGCAAAAATTCAACTTTGTGAGCTACGGGCTGAAATGTACTGGGTTCCAGACGCATAGACGAGTGATTTCAGCTCATGGTTTATTAGCAGGTAGAAACTGAGACAAAAAAGCAGGGCCCGAGGTAGTGTTCCCTCTAAGCTGAGTTGGTGTGAGCCAGCTCACAGTTTTTTAGCCTCTGGCTCACACATTTTTGTCTCAACTCAGGAAGGAAGGCTCCAGAGCAAACTAATTTATGCAGAAGCCAAATCGTTCACTCACAACTTTAACGCCAGTAGCTCATAAAGCTGAATTTTTGCTCACAAGACTCCACGGCTTAGAGGGAGCATCGGCCTGGGGGCCTGCTTATATGTCGGCTCCAAACCACACCCAACGCCTGTGGCAGGTCTATTTACAGTGCCCACATAACCATAAGTCCTTACTAGGATCCAGATCGACCAATAGGTCTTTTCTAGGATCCTCAGCGTCCATGGTTCTAGATCGCGAAGCTCCGTGTGTTCGCTAGACCAGTGATGGCAAACCTTTTAGAGACCGAGTGCCCAAACTGCGACCCAAAACCCACTTATTGATCGCAAAGTGCCAACATGGCAATTTAACCTGAATACTGAGGTTCTACTTTAGAAAAAACAACCCATACATTCACTTAAGATGATCCAAACAAAGTAAGGAAAGCAATCCCAAATGCTTTCAGTTACTTAAAATTATTTGGCAGAGAATTTGACACTTTAATGATGGTCTGGGCCTGGCTGGGGCGATGGCACGTGTGCCCACAGAGAGGGCTCTGAGTGCCGCCTCTGGCACCCGTGCCATAGGTTCGCCACCACTGCGCTAGACCATGTGCATGGTTGACCGCGCGCATGGTCCTTTCTTAGGACATAACAGGGCATTGAAGTTGTGAGCGAGCGATTTGGCCGCTGCATCAATTAGTTTGCTCTGGAGCCCTCCTTCCTGAGCGGAGACAAAAATGTGTGAGCTGGAGGCTAAAAGGCTGTGAGCTGGCTCACACTCACTCAGCTTAGAGGGAACACTGCTGGTGACAAAGATTGAGATAATTCACGCTACAGAATCCCCCATTATTATGTATGTGGAAGTTGGACAACGAAGAAAGTGGAGAGGAAGAAAGTGGGTTCCGTTGAGGTGTGGTGTTGGAGGGGAATTTTACAGATACCATTGGACTGCCAAAAAGAGAAAGAAGTAGGTTCGAGATCGAATCAAACCCGACCTCTCCCTCGAAGCTAAAATGACTAAAACGTGGCTATCATACCCTGATCACACTACGAGAAGACAGTCATGGTAGGAGAAGTGGAAGGCAGAGGGAAAAGAGGAAGACCCAATGTGAGGTAGATGGACTCCACGTTTTTCTCAACTGGGGGCGATCGTGCATTGGCTTTCTTGTGCATTGGCTTTCCCCTCCATTGTCTTACGAAACCCACGTTGGAACGGAAATTCCCCTCTGCCTTGCATGCTGCTTTCACTTCCTTTGATCACCGGGTTTTATGGTACCCTCCGCACTCCATGCTGCTTTCATTTTCTTTGATCATCGGGTTTTATGGTACCCTCTGCATAGATCTATGGCCATTTTATGGCCGTTCGAGGCTGACTTTGCGGTCAGTACGGCGTTGCCCCGAGGGATCTGAATGTGGTTTTGAGCCACACTTTTCCCTCCCAGTTGAGAAAACGTGGAGTGAATGCTAGATGCAAAATCGCCCTGGGAGGGGAAAGTGCAGCTCAAAACCACATTCAAATACCTTGGGGCAACGCCATACTGACTGAAAAGTCACCCCTGAACGGCCATAAAACGGCCATAACTCTATGCAGAAGGTACCATAAAATCCGATGATCAAAGGAAGCGAAAGCAGCATGGA